GATTAAGTTTCTGTCTTCTCTTCTTTTTTTTTTTTTTTTTCTTTTTCTTCTGAGTAACGAAACAAAGTTTTTTGAAAAAGAATATTTCGAAAAGAATCTTTGAGATAATTCGAACGAAATAATTCGAGGGAGAAAACGTGATAGTTATTTTAAAAAATTTGAGAGTTTTGATTTTATTGAAATTTAAAAATGATTTGATCGATATTAAATTAATATTACGATTGAAGATTATAATATAAGGATAGTTGTAGCAAAATTAAAATTTATTTTTGGAACGTATCACACATTTCGAAATTTTAATAATTTGAAATCTTACGTATAAAATGAAAAGTCTATAAGAAAAATAAGTATTTTGAAAGATATTTATGAGAAATGGTTATTTTTTATTTTTATTTCTTTTTTTTTTTTTAATAAAATAAAGGCTATATTCTCTTCAAAGTTTTCTATGTAAGATTACACGAGAAACTTTTTCAATGTAAAAAATTTTAAAACGTATGTTCGAGGAAATTGCTTAAGTACTGGTTCCATGAATGCTTAATGAAGAACCCGAAGTAATGGTTCGTGAAATAACCTTTTCCAGTCAGTAAAGTTTCTGAAAATTTCTCTGATTACTAAGAAATTTATTTAAGAAATTTACGTAGGAAATTTTTATTTAAATTTTATCTGATAAAACATTCCATTTATTTTTATATATACTTTTTTATATTATAACACTAAAATTTTCAACGATTGTTCCAACAAAAATAAGCAAGATCGTGAAAAATTATTATAGCATTTAATATCTTCTAGCTTTTCTCCATTTAAAAAGAGATAAAATTGATAGTATACTTTATAAATTTAACTTTTTCAAAATTATTTGAATAATTTAATGATAAAATTACAAGTCATGATTTCATTATACGTATATTCAATTTACACTTTTATATAAATTCGTTCAATTAATCGGCATTTTATTCGTTCATTCAATATTTTTGAAACATATAATTTTATTTTATTTCCTAAAACTTGATCTCTTTCAAAAATATCCCATTAGAATAATTCCAAGGGATCGAGAATAATAGATAATAATTTCAAATTAATTTTTATCCCTGATGTACATATGTTTCGTAATTGTAGTCAAGAAAACTGCTCTAATTGAGATCAAGAATCAGGTCCAATTAAGGAAAGACAATTCGAAGAGAATTCGCATTCTATCCCAAGAACGTGTATTCCATGGGTCTTGAGCAAGTATAAAGGAAAATCGCTTAAGCAAGTAATCTTGGCGAGACAATTACCAATGTAACCTCAAATGGCCTCAAAGTGCACGTCCCTCATTAGAGATGCCACTATAATTCTGAAAATGAGGCGTAAACTCCTTTTGTTTCACTGCCAACGATTGTACTCGCATCATCTTCCGGTACCATTCTTACCGCAATTGTCCTTGAATGTCTGCAGGCGCAGAAAAGGTTGTTCTGCTTCTTTTGGATGGGAACAATAGACATTATATGCGAAAAATAGATGGCATACGGAGTTTGTGTATCATTTTGATAATATTATACCTATACTCGTTCCTCGCACGATCTTTTATTTATGTAATTATCGATGATAAATTGTCGATTCTTCCTTTATGCAGGAAAGACAATTTATTTGAATATTGTGAAAGGCACAAGGTAAATGTCGATGCTTTTATTTTCTTTGGAAGAGGATACTTCAAGGTATATGAATTTTTACATATATAGATAGAATTTGATTATTTTTAATAATTTCTTAAAATTATTATAATATCTTGACAATAGTTTCTAATGATTCTAGTAAAAGATGATTAAGATAAATGAAAATTTTTATAAATGTAAAAAAATGTAAATTAACAGAATGATAGATATTAATGGAATCATTTGAATTGAAGTAAAATATTTTTGATTTATTTATTTCAAGATTTATTTAATTCGATATGTTAATTTCTTTTAAATACATTATTTTATTTCCATATGTGTAAGATGTGTACAATGATTAATTCCACGCATAAAGTTGTATACTATTATTTTTCTGAAAGTTTAAAATAATTACCGTAATAGCTATCGAGTTATACCTCATACATTCCTAATTATTGAGCAGTAGTAACAGCTTTCAGTAAAGGAAGCTTGATTCAAATGATCCCTCTTCATTTCAGTTAAACTTCATTTGTGATAATTTGCATTAAATTTATGCCATCATTTAATTATCCTGTTTAATTAGCTTAATGCGATGTACAATAATTCATTTGATATACATAATTTCGAATATACTTAATTTAAACATAAAACAGATATTAAATTATCTGTAAATTAATATTGTATGTTTTTATTTGGAATTAGAAAAAAGAAATTAAATATAATTAAAATTCACTTGTCAAAATTATCTTTCTATATTGGGAATAATAACTACTTAGAATAATTATTTAACGTTTATTGCTGATTACATTTGATTAATTTTATTTTGCTTGAATAAATAAGCGAAGTCAATTAAAATTTTCATTTATTTTACATCTTATTTGTTAATATAATTTCTCCAATAAAAAATAAATGTTTTTAATATCTCCGTAATAAATATAATATTACATATAAAATCTCGATTAACCGGTTTACGATTAATTAATATCTCAACTAGAGTTCCACTTATGCAAGCATTTTCTTCTTTAAAAATTTTCTCAAAAAAAGAACAAAAAAAGTTCGTATTTATAAAATAAAAAAGTGTGAGTAGACATGTCTGATTATGATTATATAAATAGAAAACTTATTTCACTGCAATCAATTTTCCTATGCTCTGATATAATCATTATCGTTATTATCTATATTAATTAATCGTTATTAACTAAAAAATATATATCAAAACACGTACATCGATACGTCTTTCAACGAATGCAAAAGCGTATGTGAAACGTTATACCAAGAAGAAAGAAAAATATTTTTCTCGAAAGAATATAATTATCGAGGGATCTTCCATCGTCCAAAACTTCGCAAAATAACTCGCGCCCTCTTACCACAAGTAAGCCAATACTTACGCCTTCGAATAAAAGGTCGTTGCACCATTCTCATTACCCTTATCTTTTTTTCGCTTGGAAGGGAGTCGTGCAACGCCCGATAAGGTTTTATACGCGGCTGGAATCACCGTTTCCTGCGGTCGCATCGAAGTAGACAAAACACGAAGAGAACGATGAAACGTGTGCAATTTTTATCGCGATAACGCCATCTTGGTTCCATGGTGTCGTGGTGGTTGGTACCTCTAACGCTCGAAGACAAGGGCAGCAAGGGCAGAGAGAAAATTTCACAGGGCAACGCCTAACGCTCGGGCACGCTTATTTCCGAGAGAGAGTCTAAACAAAATTGCATGGTGGGTGCTACATTATGCACCCACGCGGCACAAAGCCGCCACGTCGAAATTACACATCACGATCGTTTCTTTTTCATCGCGTTT